TAAAATTTTACTTAAAAAATTCTTTTTCATTTAAATTTTTTTTTATTATTATTATTTATGAAATGAAAAGAGAGAGAAAAAAAAGAAAAAAGTTAATTTTATTAACTTTTTTCTTTTTTTTTTTACAAAATTATTTAAAATTAAATGAAATGAATTATGATAATGAAAATGTACCAAAGATTTTTTATGCAACTACTTAATTACAAAAAATTATTCTCATATCTTTTGCCCTAAAAACATTTTAATTTATTTTGATATGATAAAAAAGTTAAAACATAATTAAATGGTTTATTTATTGCTTTTTTTAAAAGTATTAAAAAATTATTTTATGGCATTAATCGTTTTCAAATAAAGATTTAAAATTTTTAATGAAATTTGAATGTAACTGTGTATAAACAAAAGTATTTAACGTTTTTAGTTAGATTCGTAATATTTTTTTTTTTTAAATTAAGTATTATGTTTTCTACTGTAAAAAAAAAAACATTTTAATAAATTTATTAAAATTTAGTTAGTTGATTTAAATAATTACCGTTTTTTTTTTTTTTTTTTTGAATTCAATGTTATTTAGAATATTGTTTATAATAACGACATTTTAAATTCGCGGGAAAATAACGTAAACGGTTGGTAACAGTGCTGCTATCTGTCGTTAAAAAATATAACTAAATTTTTTAAAAAATTTATTAATTTTATCTAAATGTTGATACATATTAAAGCAAGTTAATTGTATTTATTATTTAAAATATAAAATTAAATTATTTTTTTAGTTAATATTATTTAATTTGACGTTTTTTATTTTAAAATACTTTTTTTTGAAAAGTGGACTTAACTGAAACGAGGGAAAAATAATAATTTTATGTTGGCTGCCATGGTTCCGATTCCATTGGGTAGTTGTATTTTTTTTTTCAGTAAATTATTATATCGCTTTAAAACGCAAAAAATGAATAACCGGTAATAATATAAAAAATAAATTTAAAAGATGTTACGGATTGAAAAGTAAGATTTTATTATCAATGTTTACTGTTATTTAGTATTTAAATTATATTTAATTCTGAAAATGTTATTGCGCCCTTTTACCGTTTTTAATTTTCGTTATGTCTAATATTTAGCTTACTGATTATTTAGGATTAAAAATACTAAATGTTAATATTTATTTTCAGTGTCATTCGTTGAATTTTAATAAATTTTATCATTTGTAATGAAATTAAAAATATAACCAATATGTAAATCTGAATACCCTTTGCTTTTGGTTATTTAAAATGTCTCAATCCTAATTAGGAAATCAATGTTATCTGATTAAGTTATTTTTTATAACATTTTTGTCTATTTTTAAGTATTTTATTATTATATAGGACTGTAATGATGCATTGAAGATTCACCTGGAAGTTTCAACATTGTAATACATTTTAAAAATAATATTGTTGTTAAATATTTAATAATATTTCATTTCAAAGATGTGAATGTTAACGATGAAGAATGAAGAGAACAAAATTTTGATACTTTTGCTTACGATTACATTTTTAATATCTAACAATATTATTCAATCATGAAAAGATTAAAGGAAATTGTTATTTTTGTAAACTTTACAGATGAATTCAATGTTTTTCGAGGAGTGGACTTTTAGGTGTTCACTGTTGCAGTTAATCAATTTATTAGTGTATGTAAAATTTGAATGCTGGTTTAAAAGCTTTTATTTAACCTTTAATTAAATTAAAATGCTTGAGTTATAGTTTTTTTTTTTTTTGAAAATTACAATCGGCTTTAACAAAATTAATTAAATTTCTGTTATTCGAACTCACAAAACATTTAAAAATACAGATTATTAAATTTTATTTATTTGAGATATTTTATTTTTGTGTTTTTTTTAAAAATTTCAATAATAATAATAATAAATAAAATAAGAATTTTTTTAAAAACTTTTAATTTTTATTAAAAAAAATTAATACATTTTGTTTTATGTAATTAATACCATGAGAATGTAATAATAATAATAATAATAATAATCTGCCTTGACCTTTAAGGTAATTATTTAGATTAATTTATTTAATAAAATATAAAAGATAGACATGTTGTAAATCGATTAAATATGTAAAAAAAAAAATTAAAAAATCTATAAACTTTATTTTTTTATAACTTTTAAAAAAATTTTTGTTTTTTATTAAATACTTTTAAAATTTAAAGAAAAAAAAATCAATTGTTATTGTTATTTATTTATTGATTTTTTTTTCATGACATTTTTTCGGTAAAAATTTTTGTGTGAAATAATTATTATTAAAAAAATTATATTTAAAAAATTAAAAAATAACAATTTAAAAAAAAGAAAAAAAAAATTATTCATAAATATTAAGTAATAAGTTATTAAAAAAAAAAATATTATTATTATTGCTGGGAAAAAAAATAAGAAAAAGAAAACACAAAAAAATTTTCATGAACTTTTTTTAATATTTTAGTTATAGAATTATTTTTAGGATATATATAAAAAAAAGTAAAATATACAACAATTTTTAACTTGCAGAAAATAAAAATTTTTTATTTTATTTTTTTTTTTTTTCTCGTTTTAAAATTACAAAAAAAAAAACAAAAACGTCACAATGAACCGCTTTTGATATTAATAGAACAAAAGTTTGGTTTAATTTAACTTTGAAAGATGGTGTCATTTTTTTGAAATTTTTTTTTAAAAAAATGCCAAACAGGTGTGATTGGTGTTTTAATTAAGGTTGGTCTCTAGATAAATATTATTTTTTTTTCTCTCTATTTTCTATTATTTAAAAAAAAAAAAAATTTATTAATATATTTATTTATATATAAAATAGGGTTAATCTTTAAATTATAAAATAATATAAAAAAATTGTATTACGTTTTATTTTAATATTAATTATTGGTTATATTTATAATTATTTATTTTAAAATCATGTAAAAAATTATTATTTTTTATATTATTAACTTAAAATATTAAATAATTTTTAAATTAACATTTTAAAACAAATTATAATAAAAGTAGTTTGTGTAGGTGAGACAAAAAAAATACATTAAAATAACTTAGTCTCATCTCATTATTCAATTATTTTGATATTTAAATATTTAATTTTTAAAATTTAATTATTATTATTATTATTATTATTTTAATTAATATCATTATTAATATTCATTGTAACCGATTAGAAATTCACCGAATTATTTTAATGAATTAAAATAAAAGTTATAATGAGTTAATATAAAATATTTGTATTAAGGTATTGATTTAAAAATTAAAAAATTTTGTTTAATGAATGAATTAAGTAATTATTATTATTATTATTATTATTATTTTTAAAAAAATTTTAATAATTAAAAAAACGTTTTCAAAAGCTGTTTATGAGTAATTTTAAAAAAAATTAATATGATCGCGTACTTGTCGAGGTCGTACGATGGTGTCGTGCATAAGCATATGGGAGTGGAGTCCAAGTAGCACCACGGACATTAAAATACGCTTGATACATTTTAAATAACCACGGGAAGAATTGGCGGACTTGAAACGAAACAGTTATCGTCATACATTTCACCTGGCGACCTGGATATTTGACCATCCCTATTCTTTGTTTTTAAATAAACTTTCTTGAAGAACCCATAAATTTTGTCCTAATGTGAACGAACGTATTTTTTTAAAAAAAAAAAACGGTTAAAGATTATTATTATTATTATTATGTATTTTTTTTTTTTTTTTTGTTATAATTTATGACAAAAATTTTAAATTTTTTTTTTTTTTTTGATATGGTTTTTATCGTTTTGGGTGATTTATATACATAAGGTACAAACATGTTCATGAATATAGATGTTGTATGTTTGTTGCATCCACATAAAAATCAATTCCGTTAATTATGTATTAATTATTTTCGTTATTGTAAATTTTATGAATTAACGTAATGTGACAAAATAATAATAATAATATATTAATTTAATTAATATAATGTTTTTTTTTTTTTTTTTGTATTTCAGATATTATTATCTCAAAACGTCCTCCTGCTGGGAAACCACTACATGCAGATGCAGGTTGCGC